AGAGTGCCATGCTCGATGTTTACAGTTGAAGTCCCCTGCTACAAATAAGCGGACCCGAGCAGTCAAACAGGATTTCCAGATCCGTCTCTTGCAGCCTGGCACCATATCTGACATAAACCGATGTGATTTTCAACGAGATACCTCCCGTCATATTCACTACCACGGAAGCTGCCTCGATGCTCTACATCTCAGCGTTTGTGCTTTTGTACTCGTCAATATCACGTTTTACTAGCACTGCCAGTCCGCCACCCCGTCCAGTTAATCTATCAGCGCGGATAACATCATAATTCGGGAAAGCTAGACGATCTCTCGGATTAAGCAATGTTTCCTGCAGCAGAGATACATCTACGCCTTCATCCAAAAGAGATTGATGAAATTTCCGTTTTTTTTTGGGGACATCCCTGGGACCCAAACAATTCCAAAAAAGAATTTTGATGAATGCAGGCTGTCTGCTATTGTACCTAACCATTTAGCTGAAAGATCACCTGCAATGCCTGGGTGGCGTTTATCAGGGGACTAATAATCTGCTGTAGAGATCTGAGCGCTATTGCTAGGTCCACATTTTGAGTAGTCGTAGATGAGCTCGAAACAGCAGGGGCAGTTGAGTTGTCATCTCTTACTGCGTCCGCGTATGACTTTGATCGCTTTTGTGCGATGACTTATAGATTTCTCCTAGGAGTAAATCTACAGTTAGGACTATTTGCCGGATGGTCCCCCCCTCCACAGGTCGCACATCTGCGTACCTCTTGCGCTGTTAAGGGCACATATGTGTCATGTGGTGTTGGGCACATTTTAGACACTTTGGCGGCGCAGTGCAATACGACTGTGCGTGTCCATACTTCTGGCGGCGGTGACACTGGCCAATGAGTCGAGATTTCTTCTGAACTTCGACTTTGATAGAGAGCCCCAGCAATTCGTGCTCGCTGTACACTTGCTGTGACTTCTCGGTCTTAGGCAGGATCACCACCATCAAGGGCATGGGCACGCCGCCGTTGCGCTTTAGGCGAATGATGTGAAAGGGAGCGTAACCCTTCTGTTCTAGCTCACCTTTGACCCCCTGTTCGGTGGTTGATGCTGGGATACCTCTGATAACCGCATGGATGATGAAATTCAGTGGGCAAAGGAAAAGTGTGATGAGGAATGTTTTCCTCTTTGAAAAGACGGATTATCCTGCGATAATCGTCTTTGGTTTTTGGGTGATACGTATCCCAGCGTCAACGGCGACTGCTCGTTCAATACGAATACCAAGACATACAAAGGAATAGTTTAAGGTGCGCCATTTTGTAGCATCTCTCAACACGATTGGAGTAATACGCACCTGGCGAGGCGATTGGGCCTGCGTGTTTAGAGACCCGCTGGATGGCAAGGAAGATGAGTTGCAGCCAGCCAATCGATCAGACTGCACTTGGGGTATAACAGGAGGAGCACTCTGTGTGGATGCTGATAAAGGTCTTTCCCTTAGCTGACTAGTAGAAGCGGTAGAGGTTTTAGGTTGCCTGAATGTTTGTTATTTGGGGATTTCGTCGGTAGCGGAGGAAATTCTGTTTCGCGAAGTCTCACTTTGCGACGTCGCACAGGTGTGAAAAGATCACCCTGTGTGTCCTCATCGGTCTCAGTATGTAGGTCACTCGAATGGCTCTTATGTCTATGTTTTGCTGTTTTGGAAGAATCAACATTGGGAACTGTTTCATGAATGATACTTCTACTTCAAAAGTCTCTGGTTCTCGTTTTCCTTCTCCAGTATCGGTGTCATCCCTGATGTCATCATTGGCGTCATCTCGTTTTGGTTTTCTGGAATATGTTCCAAAGTAGCGCTGCACTCCGCGCCAACTCCACTCAAAGCAGCAGAGGGGTCGCCTGGGGCCCCTCGGGTTCAGCTTCCATAATATTATTGCCTTCTTTCTTGCCAAAATATAAACATTTCTCCGGATGCAAACATTTGGCAATTAATGGCAGATGATGCACATGTCATAGTCAGCGACGTGTTAGTGACAGCTAACTGAGTAAACTAGGTGACGACTTGTCACTGACTATCAGCTTGCTGATTGTCAGCAAACAGGCTGTACGAATAAACCACTAATCATTCGCGTCGCGGATATTCAAGGAGCACGAGCTGTCGGCCTTCTACATTGATCGTATTTCCGGGGATGGACAACTGAAATTGTACGCCGATGTCAAGTAGGTTTTCACTCTGACAAATATGATTGAAGGACACTCATACGTAACGACAAAATTTTCGAGACGGGGACACACAACTAAAAAACGTATGTCTTTGAGCTTACCGACAAGTATCACTAGCTATAAGATTTTGTCTATCAGCATGAGGAAAGTACTCACTTTCAATACGCATCTTCAGGGTTAAGTGGAAGAACAGATTTGTCACTCCTTTTTTATACAAATGTATGTATATTGGTTGATGTTTGGCGAATAAAGATGTTTAGCTATTATTATTATTATTATCTTCCGCACTTCCACACGCATAACAGTGCTACTTTCTACACGCAGATGCGTGTTGAAATTGATTACTTTTCGCACGCTGGTAGAAGAAATTAAGTGTAATTCAAGTATCCTTTTACGTACACGTTCTTCATATTGATTTTTGGAAAATCGCTATTAAATTCGTTATCAGCAACATTTGAATACGAGGGCCACGCTATCTATTTTGAGATACACGAAAACTAAAAACTATTTTTCGTAAACTAGTTTTATGTCCTACAGCAACAATGCGCTTCTGCAGCCTGACCTTCCACAAATGAAATGCTTCTAATCAGTCAGTTTTTGGGATGCCTTCAACAAACTGATTAGTTGCTTGATCGACTTCCCCTTCGAACGAAAATTGTCAACCATGCAGATGTTTTTTCAAATTGTTGAAGAGCCAGAAGTCACGCATTGCTAAATCTCGCGAATAAGGCGGACAATAATAATAATATTTATTTGTAAAATACAATTATTCTCTAATAAAACAAATAAACATAAAGTACCCACAGAAGGCAGTTGCCTGTGCGCGGGTATTTACCCATACGAAACATTGTCATTACAGTACATACTGATATATTTTGATATATTCTTAATTATTATTGAATAAATGATTATATCACATAATTACACAAATTTATTATTAAATATTTATTTATATGTTTAAATAAACTGAATTTGAAATCTTATAAATTTCTACAGTTATAGAAGTAGGTAAACTTTTGTTGAGAAAATCATTAATTTATTATTTCATTCATCATATACGATTGTTCCTGTATCCACAGTTTTATACGTTTTTTGTATGTATAGTAACTAGTGTGTTGTCTACATTCGTCAGGCAGAAGATTATAGACTCGTGGGCCTATACATATATTCGAATGACGAGTGGTAGTGTTTCACCCCTTGTCTCATGGTTATGTTTGGTTTCAGCAGAGTATGATTGTATTTATAAATAAATAACAGCAAGTTCATACAATATAATTGCCTGATACTAAAAACACAAGAATCCTGATATACTTTCTCGGTTGTTGACACCTAAAGTAATTTTCAAAATCCATTTTTGTACAACTTTAAGTTTTTTTAATGCCGTAGGCAGTACTCCCCCCATCCAACAATACCGTAACTTAATAGTGATTGGACTAATGCATAATATATTGAAATCAGTTGTTTTGTAGATAAGAAATCTTTAAAGAACTTGAATCTAGGATTTAGTGATCTTAATTTATTTGTAAGATACTCAACCTGAGCATGCCATTCAAGGCGTTCATCAATCATTATCCCTAAATATTTTATTTTAGTCGCTTGATTTATCTGTATACCATAATTGTTTTTTACATCTAACGATAAGAAATTTGGAGCAGTTTTAAAACTGTTATAGAAAGGTAAGAAAACTGTTTTGATAAAATTTATTGTTAAAATTTTAGAGAGAAGAAATATGATTATATTTTCAAAGTCTGGCTCTGCTGTTTTTCGAACTGATTCCCATGATTTATCCTTGTAATAAATTACTGTGCCGTCTGCGAAACTCGTTATTTTGCCCCGCAAGTTCAAAGTGGATAGATCATGGATGGTGTTCTAGCATTTTGATGTGGCGCTGGTGTAAAAAGTCTACAGTTAGTTGGAAGTGTGGGTAGAGGCATTGTCGTGATGCAGGATTGTACGCAACCTTTTTTTTGTAAAGAAGATGCTCGTGCAAAATGGTGTGCACTATTGCGGATCCTACCCCAAGAGTTGCCTCTATAGTCGCATATGTGCACCGAGATTCTCCTTCAATTAGCCGCTGAACTAGCAATGTTTCCTGGAGTCACACTAGAACATGGCCTACCACTACGTTCTTCATCAGCCAATAAAACACGCCCTCTTTTAAATTCGGCATACCAGCTAAACACGCTTGCCCAGGACGGAGCTTGATTACCAAATGCCTGTTGTAACCGTTCGATACTTTGATGTTCAGTTAAACCGACTTTGAGGTCATAACGCGATAACTCTCTCGAGACAACTCCATGTTTCGTCTTAGATTTGTTTACACCACGTGCACTGTAATAGTGCGCTGTTACCGGTTTCAACTAGTATAGTTAAAGCGCATCTCGAAATATACAGCGTGCCCCTCGTATATAAAACTCAAATTTATCATTTTGATTTCAATTAAATTGATATTTAATTCATTGCCAGCGACCGCAAAACATAGAAAACTTGAGTTTGGGCATCATCCACAAACGTGCCTGCCATATTGGATATCTGCCATTCTGTTTTTGACAAACGAATATCATTAAAAGTTTGATCTAGTTTCACGAGTAGATACTCACCTCTTCCACCTTATTGATTATATTTTGCTAATTTTGTGAAAGATAATTATCCGCTGCTCACCAGAATTGGTTTGGAGGTAGAGCGGCAAACGCATTCTTGAAGCAGAGACAGTACGAAAAACAGAAGTCATTCTCAGCTATATCTTATTAACGGATATTTTGACATTGCTCTGACATTTTTCCCATTTACCCAAGTCATAGTATCTTAACTGACATAATGGGTGTACAAAATGAGCAAGAAGAAAAACAAAACTGATGAAGGTATTGAAACCACAATTGATATTGAAGATGTAAAAAGTACGGCCAATTCTGAGAAGAAAACTTCAATAGATTGTGAATATTTAGAAAAAATAAATGAAAAACTCAGACGAGAGGTTGAACAACAATCTGATAAATTCTCACTTTACGTAAAGCTGCTTACCGAGAAGGATAAAATAATTCATCAACTCACAAAAGAGGACAGGAGATTTCAAAAGCAGTATGATTTATTAAGGTGTCACATCGCAGAGAAGGAATCTATTACTTATACTCTTAAGAAAGTGAGCTCCGGAATTCAAGTGATTGAAAAAGGTAATACAAAAAAACGTATTTCGTATGTTCAGTCATGATGCTCCTTTGAAAATCGAAGAAAGATCGATAAGAAGTATTATTACTATATATATAATTACTCCAAATCAGGATCAATCCTCTTTTCAAACAAGGAATGACCCCAACAAAAAAAAGCATCGGTCCAAAATGAATATATAAGTAGTACAAGTGAAGAATTCGAAGAATAATAAACGAAATAAAGGTTGAAGAGTGTTTCCATAGTATATTGAAGGAAGAAATTGAAAAGGAATTATCTGCAGTTTACAGGGTGTCAGAACCGAAGATGATGAGGCCAAAGATAAAAATAGTTTGTTATCGCAGCCATGAAAGAATTACTGAAACCGACCGATCATTGGACAAAATCACAGCATATCCCAAGAAGACATCAAAATTAACTATATCAAGTATATTACCTTGAAAAGCATGTATATTGTACATGTGGAGGTATCAGGTAATTTTTTCAAAAAAAATGTTTGATGGCAATGATGGCAAAATTCTTATTGGCTTTCAGAACGTAACAGTACATCAAAATCATGATGGTATATTATGCATACAATTAGATCATGTATGTTACAAATAAAAAATGTAATAAACATTATGACATTAATCACTCGCCCACAAATAGAATTTGCCTATTTTTTAGTTTTTTTCCAAAGAGAGCATACACGTTGAACCTTATTTTGAAAGCATAATTCATTTTCATATTAATCCATTTCAATGTCTAGTACTAGCACGAAAAGATTTAAATTTGGCCAGTTAAATATTCACTCTCTTCTTTATATGACATTTCTTTTATCCTGCAAGAGTCTATGTTTGATATTTTAGGTATTTCTGAAACATGGCTTAACAATAGTATTCAAGATCACCTGTTGAATATTGAAAGGTATTCATTCTTTCGTAAAGATAGAGGCAGCCGTAGTGGTGGGGTAGGTGTTTACGTAAGAAATGATTTAGTTTGTGAGGAGTTAAAAATCGAGGAGTAGTATATACCACAGGTTGAGAATTTATGGATGAAATTGAAAATTAATGAAGTCTAGTTTTTGGTGTGACCTACCGACCTCCAAATACCAATCTTAATAAAGCTGTTGATTATTTTAATCAAATTGTTATTGTCGGTGACATGAAAGTAAACATTTTTGACTCCAGTAATAAATTAAACAGCTATTTTAAAGCATATAGCTTCCAGCAAGTTATAAATGAAGGATTACGGAGAACTATAGTAGCTTACTAGATCCTATATTTTTAAGTGACTGTGGAATTTGTATTAACTCTGGAACAATAAATACAAACTTATTTACAGATCCGCACTTGATATTTTGCGAAACAATCTTTACTAGTGGAAAGTTTAAATAAAAGTTTCTCAGATACAGGGATTTTAAAAATTTTAATGGAAAATTTTCAATATCACCTTAGTAACTTTCTTTTTGACAGATTATTCGATTTAGAAGATATTGACTCATGGTATTAATTCTACTTTGGATATTCATGCACCCCTAAGCATTAAGCGAACCAATTAACGCACTTTCTGAATTAAGACGTGCTGGATCAGAAGAATCATGGAATTTTTACAAAAGATTACGAAACTCGACCTTAGGAAAAATATATATTCGGAAATGCAGCTTTTTCAAAATTCCTTGGTGTACGCAACGATCCTGTGAATTTTTATAAAGTTCACAAATCAATGCTATACACAAATATCTCTCGAAGATTCTACAGAAATAAACAAATATTTTCTTCTGTTTTCAGGATCAACATTCATCCATGTTCAAAAGAAATGCTTTCTATGGAAACAATTATTATTGTAGCATATATGTGCTCAATATTTTATTCCTTAAAATCCAATGCACTTGGAACTAACGGGGCATCTCTACCAGAGCGTTTGACACCATCAACCATTAGTAACCCAATGTAAGTGTTATGGTTTCTCCCAATCATCAGTTGCTATATTCAATAGCTTTTTAAGAAACAGATCACAAAGAGTTGCCATCGATATAAACACTGAAACTTTAATATCATCGACCCTCAAGGGCCTTGGTCCACTTCTATTTATTTTATATATCTCCGATCTTGATAATGTTGTAGAACATTGCAATATTCAGTTTTTTTGTAGATGACTCGCAGCTAAGCCATAATTTTATTACTGACAATATAATAATTGATGAGGCTCAAATTACTAAGATTTGAGATGTATCAACAAGTTATGCAAACATTCATAATCTTAGATTAAATCCAGAAAAATAGAAAGTTATAATATTCTCTTCTAAAGAATTTAGAAATCAAATATTCGACTATAACGTTACATGGTAATATTATCAAATTATGCGGAACTATAAAAAATCTAGGCATATCTCCTGATGAATGCCGGATTTTTATTCATCATTTGAACAATGTTAAAAAAAAGTTTTTTTTGGTACTCGGCAATTATACATGAACAAACAAATTCCCGATTGCAAAACTAAAAAAATTCTTTATCCGTCATTAATTATAATAATAAAAAATAATTAAATATAATAAAAATTACAAACTGCGACATTGTTTATCATCCGTTCTTAGATTCAGTATCCCTCGTTCATGAAATTGGACTGGTTTATCTATTCCTAATAAATTTAAATTTCATTTAGTATGTTATATTCATAAGCTTTTACTTACTTCAATTTCCTCATTTTTGCAAGATGAGTTAAAGCTTCGTGGTTCTGTGAGCTCTCGAGATATTCGCTTTGTTGTTATAATAACAATGTCTTCCCAAAGAACTACATTTTTATCAAATGTCTCACTTATAATACTACTATCATGTACCATGCTTTACCCTCTGATACTATGGTAAAGCTTCAAATGTCGTACATGTATCAACATCATTCCATATGTAAGTATAATGTTAATCTTTCCTTTTCATCCAATTTTGACTTATTTCGCTCTATTTATTCGTTTTTATGTTGAAACCTCTGCATTTTAGTGGTATATATTGTTTTTATTGTTATTTTGTGAACTAGCATTTTACGAGTTGAGTGGTAGAAAAGGTTATGCTAAACTTCGCCCAATACAGACGTTTATTATTATTATTATCATATGCGTTATCAGCTACCTTAGAATTGAAAGTTCGTATCTTTAAAGTTTTTGCCACGTTTTTCGACTTTTGAACCACTGAGAAACTGCTTTACTAAAAACCTTTTTCTACTAAGTATACTCTAGGAAACTTAGAAATCCTTGTTCTGGGCTTACAAAATACTTAATGTAGTTTGTTTAAGAAACTGTTACATCAAAATTCCACCAGGTTGCCACCCGATAACCTATTGACTCATTACGGGGCATCAACAAAACGTGATTATGAAAAAATTCGAGTCACTCGAATTTCTCACACCAAATGCTAGGCTTTTGTCTCACCTAGATAACGGAAGAGACATAGCACTAGTATCTTATCAGGGGTTATTTACACACAGACTTTACGAAAAGATAATCACTTTGTATATATTCATTGGAACCAATATTAATTACACCTTTATCTAGTTCCACATCAAAGGATTTATTTTATTTGGATGTTATTGGTATATTACTTTTGTCATCTGTTGATTATATCAAAGCTCAACCAGGCAAATGTTCTCTTGTTAATATAATTTCGTTAGATCAATATTCTTTGATTAAACCCGAAGAATTAGAAGTTAATCGTGATGACTATAGTATGAACAACGGAACTTTCCATGAAATTGTCCACAGATTAATATTGACATTTGAGGTGCGGGGTTTGTCAGAGAATGTGTATCTGTTGCGATATGACCAAGTGCCAAAATCAAGATCTAGCTCTGTAAACCCGGCAATGTTCAACCTGGTTTGGGGTTCAGTGGGCACAGAGTCTACATCCAGGACCCTAATGTAGGGAAGTGAGTGTCCACGTTCTACTGAATAAACTACCTTGTTCTCTAAATCTTTGTATAATACTGACTGTCTTTCAACATTGATTGGCATGTTCTATGTGAAGATAGCCGATGTAATAGTGTATTGATGCGTCCCAAAAAATTTCCGAGATTAAATGGGATACCGTAGCGTTATCTATGAGAATTTGTGAGAGCTATCACAAGCATCATGTATGAGAATTTGTTACAGCGAGGTTTCTCCTCTCCGCAATAATTAGAAATCTACTTTGAACAGGTTACTGTCTCGTAGATGGCGCTGTAGCTAGCTATATATTTATTTTTTTATTTATTTATTTTGCGGTTAGTAGACTGCTCGAACAGATGATTCCATTTAACGAACAGGAAATATACAAAATACAAAAAAAAAGAAAAAAAAATTAATAAACAACGTATCAAGTACATTACACACATTACATCTAAATAAGTTCTTAACCTACAGTCAAAAACGACCTTTTCAAAAGTGATATAGTGCAATGAAAAATGTCTACTAAATTCTTTACTTTTTCATAGTTGTTACACATTACATATAATGGCGAAAAAAGTAACACACTGTTACGAGGCACAGGTAAATAGAAATTGGGATTGTTAAATCTTATGTTTCGGTACGGTACGTGTAATGACAGCTTTTCTAAAAGAAACTGGCAATCAACTGTATTGTTCAAAATTTTATATAAGAAAACCACAGCGCAGTAATTTCTGCGCTTAGATAAATTTACCATATTAAATCTACTGAGCAATAAGTCATTGCGAAATCCAGCCTCAGGATAAATCCCATCTTCCTTGAACCATAAATATTTAGCAAAACGTCGCTGGATCTGTTCAATGCTGTCCGAATGTACATCATGTGCAGGGTACCAAATTATACTACAGTATTCGAGCTTATATCTAACAAACGCATTGAATAACAATAAAATTGTTTTAGCATTGTTGAAGCTCTTGCCACACCTAAGTATGAAACCCATCGGCCTCTTGTTCACGACACGTTTTTTTTGCCGTACGGCAAATTTGCCGTACGGTTACAAAAACGTGCAAGCTTGCACGGGGCACGGCAAAGGTGCCCGTCGAATGAATCCAAGTGAGCTCAGTTGAGACTTTTCTGCGGCAAACTATAGAAGTCCTCGCCATGAATCCTAAGAAAAAGATTGTGCTTGCGTACTATGTGTATAGAAGACTGAAAAAACAAGAGAGAAGAAAAAGAAGGTTTTGGATACACCCGATCTTGAAAAAACGGGGAGAATTAGGCGCATTTCATACGCTTGTCAAGAATCAATTGAGGGAGGATGAAGCCAAGTTTTACAATTATTTCAGAATGCAGAAAACAACTTTCGATAAACTGCTGCAAAAATTATCACAGAAATTAAAGCACCAAGATACCAATATGCGACAAAGCATACCTCCCGCAGAAAGATTGGCTGTAACGTTGAGGTAAGTAAAAAATCAAACTAAATACTTTTACTTAAATTTATGTATTAATACAAAGCCTTGTATCTCAAACGAACTTGTACTATGAATGATTATAAGTTACGTAAAAAAACTAAGTTGAAGCTAAAGATGCTCCCGAAATGCAGAGCTAAAATCGAATTCTTCAGTACTGGCTTGAGAATTTGCAGAGGTACTTTCTGTATTCACACTTTGAGCAGATG